TTACAACTCTGTAAATCTTATTTAAACAATGACAGTAAAAAGAAATTGTGGATGAAAGGGATAGATGTCAGGAGACTAAGAAAACTGAATTTTGGAATAAGTTCAATGTCACATGCAAACCTGGGCTCAGACCATGAACGGTGTAGTTCTTAGATAGGGACTTAGGAGCTGTCAAATGAGGATTTTAGTGCTCTGTGAGTTTATACTGTTATTGTACAAGTGCTGTTCCTCAGTCCTAATAGTAAACTTCTGTGCCATCATATCATTAAGAACTCTTTTACTGGAGGAAGGTATTTCTTGACATAGGGATTTGCACTATAATTCTGCTGTCTTGAGCTGATGAAAGATTTACAGCTACTTTAACCAACAGTAACAGTGTTACTGTGTGGTTTTTTGGAGGGGTTTCTTCCATTTAGGTAATATGTTCTGTTTGTCCACAGTTCTCAGTGTAATATCTGTTTGTTGAGTTAGTCTCCACTGTCTGTACCAAATTATTGACTAGTGTCGTTGATCTTGTTTAAATAGTTTTAACATCTGACATATAATTTAATTTTTTTAAAATTATGGTGAGTTCTGGCAAAAAAATTATGAAAAAGATGAGTATAAAAAAACCAAGGTTAAGGTTTGTAAATTTGCATTATCAAGCACTTAGTGTTCACTTAGTGGTTATCAAATTAAGGTACATTATATTTGGTAGTAGCCTGTACAACTGTCTGCTACATGGTGGCAGATTACTGAGGATCACAGAATAATTTGCCTTGAAAAGGACCTCTGCAGGTCACCCAGTCAAATCTTCAATTTGTGTTGAAGTAATGGCAGCAGGTCCTTGTAGATGATCTAAGTATTCAGCCAAAGCAAGAAGATCTTATATATCAAGCAGCTTCTCTGTTTTTTTTCTCACTGTAGTTGTAAGTCAGAGGATATCCTCTCTCCCTACAGACCTTGGCAATCTTCTTTTTGCTGTTCATATTTGCTCTACTTCTATTACTTATCCTGGTCATAAAAAGACATTAAAATATTTTTAGCAGGGCTAGAAGTGTCCTTCCAGTTTCCTATCAAATCACTTCTGTTCCTTACCCTATTTCCAAATAAGTGCTTTATTATCAGTGGCCTGCAAAGTCAGATTCCCGTGGCTGTCCTTTCTTTCTCCTCCCAAGAATTTCTTTTTATTGCTGCACAGGCCAATAGCAACAGGAGAGAGATCTCATCCAGCCTGCAGTCTGGAGACTGTGGAAGCATTCTCCTGGGAATTAAGAAATATGAAACTAAGTCTGTCAGACTGAGAATGTTATAGAATCTGATCTCCCTCTACCCAGAAAATAAGAGCATTGACCACTCTATAAATGAGGCTTTACCACTATTCTTCAGGTCATTTTTTGGTTTAAATGCTCATGTCTGTGTTACTTTGTGATGAACTCACTGCATTTAGTATATCTGAGTAAGGGAACTTCGCTTTGGAGATTCCTGAGCCCCAAAAGACTGGTGGCTGCTCAATTTATGAGATCAGACAGGATCATGGTAGCATAAGGATGCACGGAAGTGTCGATATATAGACAATTTCAGATGGCAGGAGTAATTTATTTTTGAATATAAGGGAAAACAAAGACCCTCAAGTTCCTGATTTTCCATCTGCGCTGCTCTGGAGTGGCAGAAGTTTATTCATTACCATGTAGTGCCTTCCATGCACACAACAACCTCATTGACATCTTCTTCATTCAAGGCTAGGAAGAAAAAGTCATGCTTCACATTTTAGGCCGTGCAGATTCCTAGAGGGCTTATTCCTGTTGTGCTTGAAGCTTCCTTGCAGGTTTATACTGTGGAATACAGGCAGGATTGACCTTCACTACAGTTCTTCAGCCAGCCTTAAGGAGTACTGTGGATGTAACCTTAACGGATGGGCAAAATTTTTCTTTATCACATTCTTTGGTTTAGGCAGCTGTAATCTCCCTAAATTTGCCTCTAGGCATCTATTTGCTCTTATCATTCAATGCCAAGCCATCTCTTAAGTTTCACCTTTTGTCATCTTTCATTATAATCTAAATCAGCTGCCACTTCTTTTCCAAGTACTGCTCAAGAGGAAACCACACTACACTTACTTAGTGTGGCTTACCTCAACCGAGAACATCCTTTTGCAGCTGTATGACAACTTGTAATACCTGCTTATATGGGAAATAACACCATATAAATTAATATCCTACCAAACTAAATCAGTACCAAAAGGTGCAGACTTAGACTGGATTTGTCAGTGCAAGTTAGAGCCCCTCTTTCCCAGGCTTACTCACCTTCTGCAACTTCTCTGAAAACACAATGTTTTCAAAAATTCCCAAATGGCAGTCAGTCCATCTTTTTACTCACTGGTGTTGTTTAGTTGAGATTTTAAGATCTGTTTTCCTGTGTTAGTAAACGTGGTTTTTAACAGTTAGTTAAACTGGTCTTTCCACAACCTCTTTATTACATTTTCATATGATCAGAAGGGGAAGTCATGGATACGTCACATGAAGGTGTGATTCGAGATGTGTTGCTCCTGTGAGTTCTGGGATATGTCTGAGTGGACAGAGTGTCTTATACAATCAATCAAATTAACCTTTTCACACAAATATGAGTATCTAACGTAAAAAATAATGTCCATAAGAGAACTGTTTTCCAAAACTGTTGTTGTTCATGAAGTAAAAAAGAACTTTTTGTCTGAATAAATGGTTGCTGTATGACCGTGTCCTTGTAGAGAGGAGACTATTTCAAGCTCTTCTGTGGGATCCTGTACAATTTTTCAGGAGTCCCATTTCTAAAATGGATTTAGGAAGCCTTGCTTGCTTTCTAAATGAGTAATGAATCAATAATAAAAAAGAGTTTTCCCAATTGTTAATAGTAAGGACTGTGAAACACATGGAATTTTTAATGCCATTTCCTGCATTTCCCATTCTAGCATTGTTACATTTACCTGTGGAAGTAACAACTAATGCTCTTTGCCCATCTCTATCCTACTTGGCATTCCAGTTTTAAATGTACTATGTGAAAGGCTGCTTTGAGCCTAAGAGAATACTCAGTACAACTGGCATCAGCAAAGTTATTTGATGCTGGAACCTGATCAGTGGCAATGGGAAAGATTAGATTTTTAGCAGAAGATTTTAACAAGTTCATACTGAGTGCACAGGCCAATTGGCTTGTACAGCAACCAGAGAATGACTTCCTGACAATGCAAGTGCTGTTTCAAAAGTGAAGATAAGGCAAAATTCATAAATTCTACAATGAACAGGAAGGCCTCTGGAGAAGGGAGCAGAAAAATGAAACTATGTCTGTGTTACAAAGTTGTAGAGGGCCAGAGAAACACACCTTTGAAGGAAGCAGTTGTTAGTATTAAGGAACTTCATGTCCACACTACACACATTTTAAAAGACATTACTCTGGGCAAGCTCTACTCTGTGCTTTGGACTTGTGGAAGGGCTTTAGGTACATCTCTGGAGCACATCCCTGCATTTAGTTTCATCCAAATGATATCTGTTTGCATGCTTTGAAACTGCCCTGTGATATAAACCAAAGTACATTCAGTGGAAACATTAGGTTCCTCACTTAAAAATTGCAGTCTGTCTTTGAACTAATGTAGATGCATCCCCGTGGAAGAGAACAAACAGCAACTTTTCAAATGTAAATCTGAAATTTGCTTACCTGTTGAGAAGTAAATTTGGTTGCAAAACCTTACTGGATTATTAATTTATAAATTTACATTCTCAGTCCTGGTAAATTACTGTAGCTGTACTGAATTCGATAAAGTTATCTAATTTACATTCACTGAGGATCTAATCCATGGATTTGAGGATCCAGTGTGAAGTTCCATAGGTGGACAGCCACTGAAGCTGGGAAACTAACCCATGGTTTAATGACAGGGTTTGGGTTTTTTTTTTCAAATTGATTGCCAATATCAATGCTGATGAGAAGATTAATTTTCTTTTGTCTTAGAATTTTAAATCACTATGAAAGGCTCAGCCATTTATACTTTAGTGGATTTAGAGACATTTATTAACATAATCAACACATCCTTTATATTTTAGAATAATGTAGCCTCATGATATAAAGACTTGTGAATTGAAACCAATTTTTCAAAAGAACTGTCATGCATCTAACATAATCCAACTGCAATAATAGCAGTATGAGGCTTACATTTTCAAAATTATGTGTATAGACACATTCCATTAACATTAATGACAGTTTCAAGGCTAATGATCAAATTTTTCCTGAGTTAATCCTCTGACTCCCACTGATTTTAGTGATCTTAGATTACTAAATAATTTTTAAAGGCTTTCAGCCCCTAAGTTTTTAAATATATCCAGCTCAGACTGAATTGTTACCAGTCCAATGATTGTGTTTATTGGCACAGTTTTGATCTGTGTCTGGATAGCTACTGATTATATTTCTGCATGCAATGAATGTGCAGCAATCTCCTTTGAAGATTTAATTGTAAGTGCATTTTGTGCAGAGGCAGTACACCATTTAGAGGTCATTTTCTAGTGTTTGGGAAAAGAAGAAAGCTACCAGTTCAAATGAAATAAAAATGTCATTTATACGATGCAGTGTCAGATGTGGAACTCAAACAACGTCCAAAAGGTTCAGACTTAATTTTTCTGACGCAGAAGAAACGAGAGGCCTTTCATTTTTGTAGGTGAGAAGTGAAACGTTCCTCTCTGCTCACCGATAGAGGCATGCTAAGGTGAATTTTAATTATGACTAAATTGTGGTATTACTCTTTCATACCCTGAACATCTGTTCCCTTCAGGAAGGATGATTTATGCAGGCTATCACTGCAGACAGCTTGCTACAGCTTATGTCACGGTTAGTAGGAAGCTGGTGGTACTATTTCAGAAAATACCAGCATCTAAGTGGAGACAGGCCAGTGTGTATTTTTAAGGTAGTAGAGAAAGGGCAGCATGATGTGTCTGTTTTCAATTTTGAAGCCAAATATTGACTTTACTTTTTTTTTTCTTTTTTTTTTTTCTTTTTCCTTTCAGACCATCTGTCATTAATGAAGAAAGTATCTCGGCCTGGTTCTTCCTAGTGGTGGCAAGCGAAAGAAAACCAAACCTGTCGTTGTTCACTGCGTGTAGAAAACTATTGAGAACAGCTCTGGCAGAATTTTAGTGTTTAAGAACTGCAAAGGACAGGTTAACTATGAGATTATTGCACCACAAAATCCAATTGAAAAGGTAACCTTTTTTTATTAGCGTGTTTGCGTGAATGCATCTCTGAAGTACCTTCATTGTTACTGCAGTTGTACTGCTTTTGTATAATTACAGATTAAAAAAAAAGCAAGCAAAGAAATCTCTGAAATGACAAAGCCTTGGAATTCAGCAAAACAGGGATTATATGTATGTTCAGGTTAGATAAGGGGAATTCTACATCTTTTCTCCCTCTTTCCTGAAATCCCCCTTGCTCTTTAACCTCCCTGTCTTTGCCTCGTAGTCACCTTGCTTATGATTATGCCTATTTCTTCCCCTACTTTTGTGTCTGCTAACTAATAGTACATGATCTGAGGATTTATTACCAAGGAAGATTGTTTCTAAGATTACCTGAGGCATGACTTACATATGTTATATATGCTTGCACATATGGTCAATTCTGGTTCGGTTTGATATTATAAATATTCAGTAGTTAAAATGCTTGTCTTAAAAGAGAGAACACTGTAACCATATAACAACATATTTTAAAGTTATGCTATATACAAGAATCTTTTTTCTTGTATAAGGCTTTTTAATACTTTCTTGGAAATTCAGTAGGATTTAGAAGAATTGATGTGCTGTCTTTGTTTTCAGGTATATCTAGAAGGGCATATGTATTTGTCCCAAAACAGTTATGACACATATGCTTTATACCACATTTCCTTTATTAGCCTGTGATATATTTGAAATAAGTTTTTAAAAATAAATTTTCAATACTTTTCAAACCTAGGGTTGATCAACAACATGGAATACTTTGTCAAGATTTCCACTGAGTGTAAGGAATTTTGAATGCCTGGACTATTAGCATCCAGTCCTCTCTGAATTATGTAATCCAGGTTTAGGGGTTTTTTAAGTCTGTAGGACAATATGAACATTGTAGGTCCCTTCCAACTGAACTATCCTATTCACTAGAATTTTCATCCACTAAAATAATACCCGGGAGAATTCTATAACCACATCTGGCACAGTTAATAAAAAGTCATATGTCTGTCAGTTTTTGATAGACATCATTCCATATTTTGTAATATAAAATTAATTGTATTGCTGTCAACATTGGTGCTAATATATATCAAGATATTGCTTTCAAATGTGACTAATAACACTTCAGCAGTAAATGTTCCTAGAACCTCTTGTCTAACTAGAACATTCACAATACTTTCACCATGATGATGAAAATCAAAACACAGATCAAACTTGTCTGTATAGAGGAGCAAAAAAGTTCAGTGATGATTTTTGACATACAATATTAATCAATCTTTGGGGGTTTTTTTCAATGAGGATATCTTGACCTAGAACATCAATTGTTAAACTGATATCCATGATGCCTTAGAGATGTCTGGACTGCTTTGAAAGGGTGACTGGCCAGGGAGCTGCAGGAGTCCTGCAATAACAGGGCAAAAGTGACTGGGGCCGTAGTTCTGAGCATGTCTGAAGTCAGTGTGTTGCAGTGCTGTTGATAAAAGAAGCCTCCACCACTTGTGCCCTGTCGTTGCAGGATTTCTGCAGCTCCCTGGCCAGTGCAAGGGTTTTGCTCCCCCATTCAGTGAACCACATAGAGAAGATGACATAAGCCAAAAAAACCCCAGCTAAAATCACCAAGTTAAACCACAACAAAAGGCCAACACATTTGAAAGAAATTGCAAATCGGTGTCTCAGGTATTAATGCAACAGTAAGTATAAAAAAAAATTAAAATTTTCAAATGATATTTCCTCCAGTCAAGTGATTTAAAAAGAAAACTTATTCCTTGCTTGTAAATTGCAACCAAAGCCTAACTGCCATAAGAATTACAATACTGTATCAGGCTGAACTTTAGTAGTCCAATATCCTGTCTTTAGGCAGATGTCTAAAGAAAAGTGGAAGAATAAAGGCAACATATGATACATGTGCTGCATATGTTGATAATTTCCTAGGATACTCCCCTCATCTGGGACAACCCCAGTCATGCTGCAGTCTAATTACCAATATATCAGAAGCAGAGCATTTTCTTTTTCCTTGAATACAAATATTATTTGTTCCTTGAATGAGGCATTGTTCTTTCCCTTTGCTGTGTCATTCGCTTAGTGTGATTTAAAAAAAACCAAACAATTGAAATGTGGGGGGGTTCTGTGTATAATAAGCAAAGTGCTCAGCAGACTGTTGCTACTGTCTGAGAAGTGTGTTCATTTCTCTGTAGTCAGTATTTCTTTTCAGACTTTTACCTACTAAAGAAAGAGTGGGCCAGCTAGGCAGAGTTATGTGATTTCATCAAGTCTGGTGGGAGCTTGCCAGGAAAGTCTGAAGCGTAGCTGGAGGATGTTTGATTCTCTCTGTTCTGAAACCCAGACAAAAGTGACACCTGTCTCACTTCCCTTGTGCTAGATGTGTGTCACTGAATGAAGGAGAAAAAAAGACACACTGAACAATTCCTGTCTCTGTTTCTCAAAAAAATGCAGATTTAGCAGACTGTACAACCTTCACAGTTTTCCTCCCATCCCCACTTAGTCACTGATAGAATAACTGCACACCTACTATACAGCAATCAATATACAGATGTACAGAAAATAGGATTCATAATTCATGGAAGGAAAGGATATTTTCATGCTGAAAGTGCCTGTCCTTATGCAGTTAAAACTGGCAAGAATGTTAAATATGTTTACAAAAGAAGAGATGAGATATATGGTGATTATTTTCTTTTTTTTTATACTTATTTTTATACTTGTTTTGAACTAGTATGAAACACTTTTTCTGTCCCAAACCAAAGGTCAGAAAATGCCTGAAATACTGTTCTGTTTAGACCTGGTTCTCCCAAATCTACTTTTACATAGTTGCTTTCAGTTAGGCAACTGCCTAGAAAGATAAGGAACCTTTAGTTATAAAGGATTAGAAGCTACAACTTGTGGAGGACCTTGGGGCCATTGTAAGAAATTGTGATATATTTACATGTTTTCCCACCTTCTATTCTCTCTTGCCAGGAAAGTTAGAACTGGGTCAAAAACATGGCATTTGGGCCCAAATATGACAAATATGTAGAAAAAATGGGAAATGGAGGGGAATATGCTGAATTTTAGCAATCTTGGGTGGTTTGCAGCACCTTCCAAAGAGTTCCATATTTGTGAGTGTTAGAACTGCATTGAAGGTACTGTAATTACAGTTAAAATTGAAAAAAAAAAGAAAGAAAAGAAAATAACCCCACAAAACTTTAATGATGGGGTATTCTCTTTGTCTTATTTTAAATTGGATCTCTCTGGACAGGCAGCATCTCTCCTAAGTTTGGTGTGCAATGTCAGTTGTGGAATGTGTGTTCTATGGAGGTAGAAGATGCATTTTCCACATTTGAACATGTCTCATTGCAGTTGAATGTGTGGGATTTTTAAAACAGGACACATTCTTCTTAGAATTTACAAGATCTGTAAAGTTTTTCTTCACACTTTGTGTTCTCTTATGAGCACCTTGAAAAAGGCAGCTTAGGATATTCCCTGACTGACCTGAAATAATAATGATGGTTGAATAATGTCATTAGTATTTTCCTCTTGCCTCTTCTTTTCAACACCTCCATGAACAATGAATTTCTCCTGGTCAAAGTATTGCCATTTCTGTCATCAAAAAAGTAACTTGTGTACTGTCTTTCTTAGACTTTCTTTCAAAGAATGACAGGTAATTTCACCAGCATCATTTCAGTGACAGTTTCTGCTTTAATCACACAACTCCTATAGTGATGATTCACCTCTTTCATAATTTTGCATTCCCTGAAATAGTGTTGCACAATATAAAACACCTATTGTATATGTTCTCAAGTGTTATGATTTCTGTACAAGCTGGAGGGAGGTAAGCTAAATATTCAATAATCAATTCTTTTGAAGAAAGTGTAGCAAGCAAATAGTATTTAAAAAAATGCTATCAAGAAATGCATGTTTTACATTGGCTGAGCTGTGTGACTTTAAGTTATTCAATCTGAAAACCTGGTTCAGCATAAAATCACAGCAGTGGGAGGATTCTCTCTAAAACAATAGCTGTAATGCATGACTAGGAACGATCAGAACAGTGTGGACATGGACAATAAGCATAATTTAGAATTTGATGGTGGGCACAAGAAATTGTTTGTGATATTACTTGTTGTGATGGTATGAAACAGGCCAAAACATTAATATGTTTGGGGGATGTTACTCTAAAGTTATCTAAAGGCAAGTTTCTATCTTTGCTAGCAGAGTTAAACACTGAAGTTGAAAATAACTTTTTGTTGAAAGTTATTTAGGTTTAAACATTGAAACTAATAAAAATCCATGTACTTGGATGCTAAATGGGAATCAGAAGTTAAATTTAACTGTCGTGACATTTCTAGAGTTTAGCATATATTTTTATTCAAGGCATGCATGCTCTAGTCAAAATATACTGTTAACATAAACGTGTAGTAGGGAAAATCAAGCCCCTCTCTCTCTGCAGCACCCAATGAAATCCCAGCACAGACCACACACTTTCCACTGCCAAGGAGTCTTTTGCTGGAGTCACTGAGTAACTTCTAAGACATTGCTACATTATCTTGTTTTTCTACTATGGTCGTCTATGGTCAATGGATACACATAAAAAATTTTGCACAACATAATTACCTTTTTGTGTGGCTAAACTAATTAGATTTTATAACAGTTTTATCTCACTTTGTCTATAAAGTCTTTGAAGACCTTTCTGTTACATATTTGTGCACAGCATCTGAAGTGTAGATTCATCTTTCACAAGCATCTAAATTTTTCTTTTTTTATTTCATACTTTTTCAGTTGGTAAGAAACACAAAACATTTTGTTAGACCTTTGCTTTTTTTCCCCTCAAAATATTTCTTGGAATATGTGATTTCTTGTGTTTCTAATGAATTTGCATGTATAGAATGCTGTACTTGAAAATGTGTAGAGTCATTGCTGGAAATCAACTGATTGACAGCTGTTCATTCTGCATTTTATGTGGAGGATAGATTGCATTGCATTTGTTCTCTAATTGATACATGTTTTCTTTGTAGCTGTTTAGAGCATAACCATCTTATGGCTTTTTTGATTTTCTCAAGGTATTTGCTAAAGAATTAGGTTTTTATTATTTTCAGTAACACCTTTCCTTTTTTAAGTTTTTCAGATGATTGCACACTGAGGATAACTTATTTCTCCAGTGAAATACTGATACAACGTATAAGGAGAAAAAATGGGCAATAAATGGTAAGTAGCATTTGTTAGAACAGGCATTCTGTTTACTAAATTGAGGCATTGAGGACTTTGAACTGAAAATAAAATCTGGACTTCTTTTTTTAAATAATTTGTGTGGCTTGGTGCCCTTAAATGGAACTAAAAATGGCAAATAGTCAATAAATAAGCTCATGAATAAAGCTATTGCTTTATGTAATTCTAGCATTGTAATATTTACATAGTTTTAATCCATTTTTCAGTGATTGACTGGCCTTTTTCTATCAGTACTGCTTTAGTATGAGAGCTTTTTCTTACAGTTTCAATGAGATACCACACACAGTTTATCTCTCCTACCCTTGTATATGCTCTGTAAATAAGACATCATTCCAACTCTGTGTAAGAAGGCTAAGAATTATTTCTCTGAGCTTTCCTTCAGGGATATTTTTTGCAGATAGCTATATCTTTGTACTATAAATTTAATTAGATATTTAAATATATATCCCTAGGACTTTTGTTTCCTTATTCCTATATATGTCTCTCTGTTATTCAGATTTTTAGTACAAGATTTTAAATAAATATGTTCAAAAGCTTCAGACTTTAGAAGTGCCTGTGCCTATTGATAATCCTCCTATCATAAGAGAACTGAATGTGGAAGATGTAGTGTTTGGAAACCATTAAAAGAAGTCTTAAATTCTTCAGGTTTTGCACCTCCACAAATGTCTGTAAATTAGTCTGCTTATTTCTCTTCAAATCCTACCCACTTTCAGAGTAGCAAATCAGATTTCAGCCCAGCTAGGAGTAAAATTTTTCCAGGGTTTTTGACTCTCCTCACAAACCAGATAGCATGCCCTGGCCATGTTTATGAACATTTTCTTGTTATCTCAAAGTTTACAGATGCTTTCAGATCAACGGTATTAAAAGAATTTATTCTTGATTATAAAAAGAAATATAGGAAATGCTCATGAAAATTGTTGTAATGAAAAGAGCATGACAGCCTCAACCAAATGTTCTCCCACACTGTCCCAGGAGAAACTGGACTTATAACCTGTCACTATTGTTGAAAAAGCAACCCAGTGATATATTCAGAGCCTTCCTATGTGATGAAAATATTTCTCTCTTCAGTGGCATTTTCAATTTATGGTGCAAGCTATATCAATGGCACTTGGATAACAAGACATGGATTAAGCCAAATTTTCTTTAATCACAGCCTATGTAACCACACCTGCAGCATTTGTTTATAAGCAAAGGTTACTACTGAAGTACTTTCTTCAAAGCCAGTTTTTAAATATAACTCAGTCACGATGGGACCCTGAACCTTCATTGTGAAATCCTGTTCTGCAACAAAAGTATCTTTGATGCCATTTACATGACCTGTCTAAGAATCAACCCAGGTATTTCTTTTCTGCACCTCATCCTAATGTTTCGGTTCAGATTCAGCCTAACATTCCTATCCTCAGGTGTGAAATATAGTGAGCAACAGCTTTTTTGACAGATCCAAGGCAAGTTAACTGGCATTGATCCCACAGCTAGAGAAGTGGTTTTATTCTTATCATCAGAATTCTGAATGTAGAAGCTCATCTCTGTGGAGTGTTTATCATTCCTTTTCCCACAGAGATATAAAAATTTGCTCTATGCCTACTATCAGGTACTTTGTGCTCCATATTAGCTTTTATCACTTTATACCTCTACTGCTTAGTCTTAAGGTAGTATATTCATTGGTTTGTCAGACCTGTAAAAGTTGGCATCAGCAGATGCAGCTAATTATTTCATCTATTCAAACCAATTTATAGTATACCTAATATAATATAACAGAATGTAGTATAACACAATATGATATAATATAACATCAACCATATATTATAATGTACAGAATAGTATAATTATATATTTATATCATATATAAAAATATATATATTATATATATAATGTATATATTATATATATACATTATAATAAATTTATACTGCTAAATTGTATGTATTATTATATATACCATATATAATAATAGAAAGATTATACATTTTGCATTAAAATTTGTTACTTAAATAAAACTAAGTGCTCCACCCTTGGTTCCACTCAACTGTGTGATATTCTCCACTGGAAAGCACAATGGAATCTGTTGAGTTTCTTTGACATACAGAGTGTACATATCTTATTCTGATTAGTGCAGAAGGCATGATATGAACAGGGGAAATAACAAAGATGTTTGAATTGATCTGGCAAACGTGTACCTGCTGACACCACGGGTTATAACCAACAGAGCACTAAAGCAGCATTAAGTTCTATTATAATGCATCTTCTCTTGACTCAGTAAATTAGAATACAAAAAAATAACAAGAGATAAAACCTCTCTGGCAGTATGTGTATCTGGTTGAATGGAGAACACCATCTCTGTTTTTTTGTAATTTTTAAAAATAATATCTGGAGTTTTTGTTTTAAAATCTGAATATATTCGTTCATATGTAGGGTTTTTTTTAAACTGTACTTCATTAGGAGTTAATATTTTGCCTGAATGAAATTCATATACAGGAGGTCATAGTTATGAAGATTAACTCATTTTCTCCAGGATCTTTCTCTACCTTCTACTTAAGTTATATGCATATTGAATTAGGCAATATGTCTTCCTGCTTCAAGTCTTAAAGAACTTTTGCACATTAGAAGAACTGCTGGAGGAAGAATGCATAAATAGGCAGACAGGAATCCCAGAAAGTTCAGCAAAGGGAAATGTGAAATCCTGCAGCTGGAGAGCTGTAATCCAATCCACAAGTACAAGTGTGGGGGAGTAAAGAACATCGATTCTCATTTTTCCCAATAGTATTCAATGAATGCATAAGAAGCAGTGGACAAAAATTGAAGTGTGGGCAATTCCACTTCAGCATAAGACAAAGAAGTGGTCAAAAACATCTCTGCCCAGAGATGTTACGAAGTCTCATGCTCAGAGACATTGAGAATACCACTGGAGAAAACCCTGACCAATGTGCTCTAGCTTGACCTTTCTGTGAGCAGGGATATGGACTAGACAAAGTCTAGAGGTCCCTTCCAACCTCAGCCATCCTGTGTCCTGTGAACTCCCCAGTGGATTGCAGTAATGCATCACAATGAACTGCTGTCAAGAATTCTAAGCATGTTGTGGCTGAAAAAGTCTTCTTGGCCTTTCATTGTCTGGCTGCTGCAATTACACCTCTACAGATTTCTGTAACTGCATCGGCACTGAATGTTTTGAAAACAGAGATGAGCATCTACAAGTTAGTCAGAATTTAAAAAAGAAATACTCAGGGAAATCACTGGTTTTTGTAAAAGACTTCTGTAGACTTGATAAACATCTTCCAAATGGTGGCACAGCTCCTTGCATAAGCATGGGAAAGCTTCCCAACTACAGTTATGAGCCAACAGTCATCATGAGTCAAAATAGTTAAAAATTAGCCTGATTTAATACTTTAATATAGAATCTTGACCTCAGCAAGGTTTCCCTAGTGCTAGCATAAAGATAGAAGGAGAAAAGAGGGAAAAAGATGGGGACTTCTGAAAATGAGTTTTGAAAAAGACAACTGCTTCATTCATAATTGCTTCCTCTGCTTCTCCAGTGTGGCATGGATTGAAGCCTCCCCAAAACTCTTAATGACAGAACTTGTGCATGGACTTGATTGCTGCAGGCTTGTGTTATGTTTACATTCATCAGGATAAATATTGAACAAAGAAGGGAGATTAAAAATCTAGTCTGCCACAGCTTGGATGAAATGGAACTAAGCTGCTGTACCTGTTTTAATATGGTTGTAATAATCACAAACATGCACAGAGGTATACACCCAGTACACTCCTTTCCACTTCTTTTTCATTTAATTTCCTTTCATTTAATTCTTTACTCCTAAATGAGGAGCAAAAGTAGTCACTTATTACTCTGTATTTCTCTTTTGGTCTTAAATTTATCCAGATTTTAGTTTTGTCTCTGAACTTCAGCACAGGAGCAGGTGGAAAACCTGGTTGTGAGTCTCACGTGACCAGAGTCGTTCATTCATTCCAAGCTGAACATTCACTTGCAGTGAAATCACTCCTATAGATTGTTTTAAAACAGGGAAACAAGTTGGTGTGTTTTATTCTGAGTTGATGGTTTGTACCTAGAGGAGCTGAGGTGGCACAGGAAGTCCAGGGAGGGTTCTGTTGCACAGACAGAACAGTGTGAGCACCCCAGCCAGTTTGATGCTGACACACATTACCTTTCTTGTTCTGTGGAGATGCTGTGTGTGATTCCTCTCCTGCAGGCCATCACAAGTTGTCACTTCTGGTTGCTGTTGGCTTGTATTTGCTGTTGTCCCACACACTGCTGCTTGCAAAGTCACAAGCTGTGCTGTAATGTCTGGAAATATGTGTCATTCCTGCACATGAATGGATTGAGGAGTAGAACTAAGGCTATTGTAACTCTTTCTTTCTGCCTGGAAAAACAATTTTCTGCAAAATATGAAATTATAATTCTGCATTGTGAGTAAAACTTTACTGAGCTTTTTATAGCCTGAGTCATGCAAACAACTTAATATTTAGGTAGTATTGTTAATTAGCAGGAGGACAGTCACTTCAGTCCAAGGCTATTTTGACTTTTACATAGCAAGATGCTTAAATCTATTAATTTTCTATGCTGACCTGTTATAAGCTATTCTAGTTAAAAAAAAAAAAAAAAAAAAAGATGTGCAGGGTGGTAGAAGTGAAGAAAGAGGCATAAAGTGTATTGGAAAACTACCAAATGTCCCCTGCAAATGGACCCTATTCAGAATCAGTAAGCGTATGATGAGTGAAGTGGTTTTGAATATCGCCTTTAGATTCCATGCTGTTACAAGGCCAGCCCCGAACATGGCAACTCTTATTTCCACACACAGTACCTCTTCACTCTCAATTTAACCCAAAAATCTGATGAACCCATTACTCCATACTTGATTTCATGGAACAAGGAGTAGATATAGTTACAAATGATCAATCACAAGCCGTGAACCAAAGCAGCAAGGCATTAACAATTCACACCATTTCGGTCCACTTGCTCAAGCAGAAGATGTGCCAGCATATTTAATGCACAGCTACTTCGTGCAGTTCAGGAAAAGACATGACTCATGCTCATTTTAGGAACTGAGGACACTTCATAGGTTTTCATGCCTACCAGCCACCGAGGGTTAGAGTTTGCACCTCTAAACAATTAACATAACCAGGTGTCCAGTAAAGGTCAGGGAGACGGACGGGATTTTAAATCAACTTTTGCTCAGGTTGAAAATCAATGGAAGGAGGACCTGGGAAATGGTTCCCACAATAAAGCCAAGTTGTGTTGTACGACTTTGTAGTGTACAATCAACATCTTGTTCAGCAGTATTGTAACATTGCAGACCCCACAGGCATGTGCCGTCAATTCAATGGGATCAGTGGAAAAGCGAAGCAGCTGTGAAAGATTGCTTCAAGTACAGCAATCGTGTACTTGTCATTCTGTTCAATGGTGGAAAAATCCAAATTCGGATAGGCATCAGTATTTAGGAAAATGACTGCTAAAGCATCTCTCATAAGTACCTTGGGGACAATACGATTTGACATATAGCATGTAAACAAAAGTACACAGCAGCTGTTAGATTAGTTTTTGTTGGAGTAAAACCACACTGGTGTAATTTCAACAACACAGGAAAATGCATGTTCTCCATCATTTGGTTTCCCTGTATAAACCACAATTTTGGGTAGTACATGCCAGTTGCCCTGGACAAAGAGCTGCATCATGTTTGCTTAAAATAAGAAACATTGCACACTAACACAGTTTCATACCCTCTCTGTTATATATATATATATAAATAACAGAGTACAGGGCATATTGAAAGTACCTTCAGGAAAAACCTTGTCCCCAGGAAGTATAAAAAGAATTTCTAGTATTTTGGTCATATTGAGAGTTTCTTTTTTTCCAATTCTGGAAAAACTGTTGATGGTTTATTTCCTGTTTTTCTGATACTGTTACTTGTTTTTTAAAAAGGATGCTTTTACTGCTTGCTGGCTTATTTGCTAAGAGAAATGGATGTTGAAAAGAGCTCAGTATAATACTAATGTCTGTGCTCCAATAATGTCATGAGTTCAAGTAAGAAGAAAGTTAACAAACTGAATTTTGGGCTATTTGTTTTTATTTTTTTGCAGTCCACTTGTGATGATTTCAAATTGCCAGAGGGTAATTTTCCCATTCCTTTACAAATGTTCTGCTCACTTTTTGTGGATACCCTACTGGGCTTTGGATTTCATGCTTTCTGTTACTCCATTTGATCAACATTGCACTCTTATAATTTTCATCAAGTTTAAACACAAGACAATGTAAAACAAAAAAGTTCTTTCTTTCCTGTTTGCCACTGTGGCATCATGTCATTATCCCCATCATTTTAAAATCTCTGGGTTTTGTTTTAGGGAAAATTTCTTGTCTCTGTTCTTCAGAGGAGTGTAAAATTACACTGTAAACCAATTATTTTCTTCAAGGAAATTCGATGTTTGTCATGTGATATGAAGCCAAAAAATCAATAAAGGGGAGAATAAAAACAATAAAGGTGTATTTGTACTGTTCAGCTTAGCTGAGGAGCAAAGATCCTTGAGTCCTCTCCTTTTATCCATGGCTGACTCTCTAGCAGCTAAGACCGCTGCAAAGGAAAAAATGACTCAATTGAAAAAATGCAGTTTGGTTCTAATGCATTATTTATAATTCTGCATAGACATTATAAAGAAAAGGAATTTTGTCTGTAATTTAAAATTTTTTTCCATCACTTCAGACTCTCTTTGCTCTCTAACCTTCTGAAAGACTGACATCACGGGGACTTGTTCCTAAACCTCACCAGTCAGCTCATTTGCTTTCTTTCCAAGGGTTGGCTTTTGCCTTCTCTTGCTGAGGTCAACACACTGTTACTGTCTTCGTGGTCCTGCCTCATAGCTCAGTGTTTGTAATGTTTGACCAGCTGGAATGGTGAATGGACTGTGCAACACTTCACAAGAGACTTGCAAACCTTCAGGAAATTTTGCCTATAGGTTCTTCCCACCTCGCTTTGTAGACTTTGCTTTGTATAAAGTATCAAAACACTCCAGTGGAGCTGGGAGCTGTACTGTGGAGTAATTACTGATACTCTTAATTTTCAGAAAAATATTAGTTCAGACCAATACCTTCTTTGCTTTAGGTAAGTCACCAAAATGTATGGAAGACTGGAAGTAGGTACCTGTTCATTGGAAATCAGTCTTGCATCAGTTCCAAATGAGAACAGCAAAAACATTATTAAATAATTTTTGAGCAACTGTGTATTTTTTATCTAGAGCTCTAAAAGTATCTTCTGGAATCATCAAACAGTATAAAGTTATGGAATATTTCAGTAAAATACACTCTTCTGAAGTTACTGCCTTAGTGATCTACCTTTATTCCTTTACCTTTCTAGGGGCACGTGTTTTTGTACTTCAGTGAACACTTAATAATTTAATACCATCAATATCTGGAATTTTAAAAAGGAGGTCAAAAGAATAGGGGGAAAAATACAAGCTCTTTGAGACTGTAAAACTGGAAACATTAAGACTGAGTGTGGAATGAAGTAAATACCTTTATGGATAAAATCAGCTGATGTTTATGGAAATTACTGTTGTTTATAGAAAATTATGTGGGTCTGATGCTCAGTGTTGCTGAGTAATTTGGGTGTTAGGTGTGTCTGAAAGAGGTGACACTTTTTTAACCTCTAAGCAACCCCAGCAGGTCTTGGAACTATCCCTCTCTGGTCCTGAAGGTCATTACCTTCAGAGAAGGTGGATTAGCATGGCTGCATTGTACTGATCTTAAAATTATTTGTGATAAAATACTTAATGGTACTATAATCAGTGTTCAAATGTAACATTCAATTCTGGTATACACACATTTTCTCACAGCTATGTTCAGTCTCCTTACATACTCAGAAAAGCACCGTTACTTTCATTTATCTTCATTTCTGTAATCATTTTCCTGTGGTAACTAAGTTAAAAAGCACTGAGTAAAAGCCATATTCACTTAGGGTGTTTGTAAAACTTCACTGAGATCAGATTTTCATCCTTTTATTTTGTTTGAACTAAGTATGACTATAACCACTGCTCATCACATAACGTGAAACATAGATTTCATTCTCATGCTGCTGACAAGTATATTCACTCCTACCAGTGCTCCTGATCAGACCTTGTTCATTATCTTCTTAATTTTATGTCTGAATTCCGTGGTAAGGAGTAAGTACATTATTAGAATAATCTGGAAAGGTATTAATTCATTTACTGTCATCTTGAAATAATTTTTCCTCATGTTCAGTTGCATGGCCATGTCCTGAGAAATCAAATTTTAAAAGCAAATATTTAATGGTCTATAGTAGGGGTTCTGGTTTAGTGTGTTTGCTTTGATGACATATTTTGAAAAAGTGTTGCTGTATTGCTTTTCAGGGTAATCATTAGTGTAGGTTAATATACATATTAACCTTGTTCAGTAGATCCTCATCAGTCTTAGTTTGTGAAGTCTGATCTCTTTTTAGATAAAAGAGAAGTAAGCATTCTATATGGAAGCTCCCAGAAGTGTTTATGTGAGAATACATAAAGTTACTGACTAGGTGATAAAGTTCTATCTTGAATTTGTGGGAGTCAGAAGACTTGAATTTTAGCATGATTTAAAAAAAACTAATACCTTTCACAAAAATAAACACAGTTTCAGTTAACCACGTGCTTAAATCATTCATAAAATGCAGTGACTGTTGCATGATTACCTATTTCTTTATCCTTGAAGGTGAATTTAACTATATGATATGCTCCTTCTTGATCTGTCCAAAAGCCTCTGGTTATTAATGAACTTGCATATGAAAGTTTCTTAACTAAGGTCTCAGTTCAGACTCTGTTCTCACAGCTGAGTGAACAGCTATTGAGGCTAAATATTTGCCAAAACCAAATGGAACGTGTGTCTCCTATTCTAACAAAAATACCTAAAGTGTAATCCCCATTCCTCTGTTTTCTCTGACAAAACCTATGGTTCTGTGTTAGTATTTATGTAGCTAGGAAATGCACCATTTATACCTATATAGCTAATATGAATCTTTATGACTATAGCCTTGCCTTGCCTTCCCTTCCCTCAGGTAAAAGCATGAAATGCTGCTTATTGTTATTTTATTTTGTTGTATCCGAAAGGCCCACATGTGCTACACAAAAATATCTGCAAAGCACATGCACCTTAGTAATGCCTGAAGCCAAAATAATCATCCCTTATTTATCTCACATATTGACATTAGGACCCTTTGAGAGAATGCTTTCAACCTTTACAGTGATTCGAAATCTAAAAGCAGCAAGAAAAAGATCTCATTGAGAGCATTGCCACGAATCAATTTTATATATCTTTTCATTTGACCTTTCCTCATTATTAAACAGCTACACTGAGCACTTTTATTCGCTGTAAGTTGTTTTTAAGGTAGTGGCAATGAGAAGGTTATAATAAAACAGCTTATGAGGGTGTTGATTCTATTTTATGAATGTTACCATTTTATAATATTGTAGGTGTATGTCAGCTCCTCAACAGGAAACTGTGTACAGAAACACCACGGATCTTGCAATTTTATGAGGACAATGCAAGTAGGTTTCAGCAAGGTTGGTTCCAACTCATCTGTGATAAATGAGAAGATAAGGCAATCAGTGCACACCATGACACTCCGTGCAGCTAGTTAGGCACACTTCAGAACTATTCAGGTGTGCTCACCGAGCTTAGGAGTCTTTCCTGAGGGGTGTCTCAATATAAATACGTCCTTCATGGTGGCCACTAGAAATGCAGGAGTTGCTTTTCCAAGACTTAACCCAGGTCAGATATAAATAATAGATATTAAGAGTTAGTTCTGATGCTGAGGCTGCGTTAGAAGCTCTGTGTTTCAGTTGGGTCAAAAGAATGAATTTGCTTTTGGGGTTGTTTTTTTTTTCTTTTTCTTTTTTTTTTATTTTTCCCCTTTTTCTTCTTTTCTTTGCATAGCTCCTCTGCTTGACAGATGCCTGCAAAACTTCATCACACCTTTGTGAGGACCTCTTTGGGTCTTTAAGAGAGAAGGTTTCAGCCTCTCAGGAGCAAAGATTTATATCCAAGGAGTTCTATTGGCCCTGCACCAACGATTAAAGTCTGCAAACTGTTGCAAACAGGTGAGTTGTCCCACTCTTTAAAAGTCTGCTTTTCTGTTTTAGTTTTCAAATGTGCTAATTGTATAAAACCAAGGATTGGCACTGTGTCATAAAGAAGTGTGACATATATTGCAGGAGCTGCAGTGCCTGTTAGGAAAATGAAACGCTTCTGTAATTGCAAAGCCAACAATAAAGCAGTTAATTGTGTCTCTCTTTTGGAGTGGGATGTCATGTGCCTCATCTTTTCTTGCTGCATACTGTGCCTAGCTGTGATGTTCCTTGTGTGGATATTCTCTAAAGCAATCATTTTTCATTTCTCGTTCTGCTCATGCAATTTTTAATGGTCTCATAGATCTTTCCATAAAACTAATTTAAATAATTATTTAGTTGAAACATACTTTAAATAAATAAGTAAACACTTCTAAGTATAGCTGGTGTTGCACTATGAAAAATTAAATAAACGTATCATGTTTTAAAACATCAATATTTTAATTGTGCCATCAAGCAAATATGCCAGACGCACATTTTAATTCGAAAAAATAGTGGAAAACAGATAATGAATATGCTGTCTAAAAGTTTAGGAGCAATAAGATGATATTTTTTATTAATCAAATGTTTTATTTTAGAAAATATAAGTAAGAAAACACCGATCTTGCTCAGTATAGTAACATAATTTCACTTATATGTGCAAGAGTGTACATATTTTTAAGAATTAGGTGAGTACTTCATAAGAATACAGGTTTTGGAGGAAAAGTATCATACAGAAATTAAGCAGCCAGCTGGGAACCTCGGATTTAAAAGTGCTGTCGGGGCCCAGAGCTCAGAATGACTGCAGGAGAGATTTGAGCTGCCAGGCTGTGCAGGAAGGGGGAGGAGAGGAGCAGGCGAAGTGTCAGTCACACTGTTTATACAGCACCTCCTGCTGTCAGATCCATACAGAGAAATGAGAATTGACTTTGGGGACACTGCTCCTGTCTAGAGCTAAAGAGTGGTCAGCAAGGAGAAATCCAACAGAAACAAAAACAAAACCGAGAGAGCACGTGAGAGACAAACAAGCAGAAAAGGAAAAAGAAAAGCTTGTTTCAGGCCGTTTCTGAGGCAGTGGAGCGATATATTAAAAAGTCAGAAATATCTTTACACTTTATGTTGATGATTCTACACTTTTAAGATAACACTGCCTGTCACAAAAGCCATGGAACTGAAATCTATTATAAAATATAATATTTACTCTTTAATAAACACAAATATATATATATAATGAATACAAGTACTTAGCAAGTACAATGGCAATTAATTAGTAGAACAAAACAGACAGTGCAGTTTCTAAATAGAAATTCACATGGAAGTCGTTTATTGACTACTTTTTACTCTTTTCTGTGAAAAACATATAAAGACATTTCAGTAAATTAGCTCATGTTAGTCATTCCTTTGCTGATTATCCATCAGGGTTCAGCTGGAAATTGTAAATGACAAGAAATACTTAACAATTTCAGTGGATTTGAAATTTCTTCTGAAGACAAATGATTCTTTACAATGAAAGCCTTGCATTTAGGCATATGCTCATATAACCACGTTAGCCATTTGTAACTTTTAAGAGTCCAGATTACAAGGATAGATGTCAGTACAGCTCTGACAGTTAATTGTCTACAAAACCCGTATGATTAAAATAATTTAATAAACAATTAATAATAATAAACTGGATTAATAAACTGGGTTAAGTGCCGAAATGGAAATTTTACAGCACAAGAATGTTAAATGTTTTGTGCAGTTAATGTGCCAAAAGCTTGTGTTATTTGGAGTTATATTACTCCAAAGATAAGATGAAACATATAATTTGGTGTAAAGTGTCTCTCTGTTAATTTTTCCAACCATTTTTATACTGAAGTTGTGTTAGTACTGAACATAAATGAAGGAATTGTAGTAACTGGAGGTTATTATATGCTGTAGGTATAACAATTCTTACCATGATCTTACCGTATTTTGCTTATGCTGCCCTTTTTTTTCTGAATAACTGAAACAAGTTTATTTTGTAAAGAGCACACTGTGATATGATACAGATACAAAATTAGAAGGCATGTTAATTAACAAACCATTCAATGAAAATACTCTCACTTTGTCCTGTGGTGCTGAGGCCTGACAGGATAATGCTGTGATGATTGTACAGTATTCACAGCAATATAACCTCTAGCCACTACTTGACAACATTAAATATATTTTCTTGATTTCTATTTATCTCTGTGCTATTTTGACATTTGAATTACTTGTGCTTACCTTGTCTTTTCACATAGATAAAAAGGGAATGGAAGTAAAAGAAAAGGAACATTCTTTGATTCAGTATTACTCTGCTAAGACACTTTAGTCTGTCCATTGAAGTCAAATAGCACATACAACTAATAATATGCTAATACACAGACTTCTATAATAGTATGCTAATACACATATTTGTATTAAATCTTCCTGGGCTTCTGTTTAAAATGCCTAAATTGAATTAAAACAACACACAGTTTCTGGTCCACACAGTGCACTGGTTGCACGGTGTTGTCTTTTTAATCACTCTGTTGCTTCTTGCCCCAGAGGAGTGAGGAGTTACTGTCTCTCTGCTGTGGTGTTTGTAGCCTTTTAAAGAGGACACTCAGTATCCCTTAAATAGTATTCCTTGAGTTTAACACAGGTGAAGGAAAACAGGTAAAACTCAATGAGTACTTGAGCTTTGGGAGCTGGTTTTACTTTTACTTTAAATAAGTGAGAAAGTAGGGAAATATATACGTATAACCACTATACTACAAAAACCTTCTATCATTTCCCTTTAAATGCTTTCTAATTGCAATTACATATGTACATAATGATCTATAAGCTTCCCTAAAATCTTGACAAAGTTTATATTGGCATTTTAATGCCATTAAATTCTGGGACTGTAAAATGCAGTTTTCTAACAAAAAACAGCAAACAAACAAACAAACATAAAAGAAAGTAAAATTTAAGCAACAGTTCTGATAGAATTATTCTACTATTAATATTTCAGTTGTCAGCCTTTTACCAGAATTTTAAACATTCTGTGTAGGTGTCTGTTGGAATTTCTGGTATCCTCAAACCTCTTTGGAGGTTAAAATCAGTTAATTTTGTGTATAATGTACATGGTTGGGTGAATGCACGTAAGATATTTTTTTATCTTTTTTGTGGAGCCGCCATAGTTTCTATTAAAAATGCTTTTAGGTGAAAAAAGCGTCGCCCAAATGAAAGTGCTTTGAAGTGAGCTGGGCCATGTAACAATAGAAGCAGCACTATATCTGATAGCATGGGATATAGTTCACACTTTGGGAGAGGGGGGATGTCCACCTCATTAGCATTCTTCATCTGTAGTGGTGCTGTTGGTGGGGGTGTTGGAGTAGGAATGCCATTGTGCTGGGTTCCAGTGTTTGGGGACAAACACTGCTGTGGAGGGAACGTGTGAAAAGGCCATAGTACTGACAGTGAATGAGGAAGGCTGTGCTTTCTGTGTGCTTCAAGCAGGGAAGCTGTCATTCACAGGCCTAGCACAGCTAAACAGAGGCCAAAAGAGAAGACTCAAATACTTTTTAAAATGATATTAATGATTTTTAAACATTTTCTTCATTTAGAGTTAACGCTTTGTTCAAGCTGTTGGTCTGTCCTTTACTAAATGATATAAAACGTTACGTGAACAGGTAAATGGAAGAATATCTCATTGCCACAGTAAAGATTTATTATGGAAAATGTATGTGTATGAGTATTTGAGAGTCACAAATTTCTTTCAGCATATTTGAATGTTTTTGAGCACGTGTTACTCTCAAGGATCTAAGAAACAGAGCTGGTCCAGGGGTTTTATTCTATGTGCTTTTATTTTTACTGGAAGTGTGTTATGTGTGGGGATGAGGAGACTGAGCCGGGATGAGAAGTGACAGGAAATTGTGCTGAATGTTCATTAGTTTGATCTAGCAGAACTTACAGTAACAGTAATTAATCATTTGAACCACAGCAAATTACATCACATTAATGTAATGGAGCTAGTATGCAAAATACCCACAAGAAAACAAAAGAGAGTAAAATTATTGACTGATCCTGCTACTCGCCATTTTGGCTATGGAAACACAAGCTTAAATGTACTATTTCAAAACTGTATATCAACAGTTTTACTGTTATTATTCTAAGCTACATCCACAAACAACATAGTTCATAGTTCTCATTTTTCTATGCAGATCCATAAAAATGTTACTGACTTTTAAACAATTGAAATACTGCCAATACCAGAACAAAGGAAAAAGAAAGTCTATATTTCTTCTATTTTCTTGTGTAGTTCTCTTGAAATTGCTGACTCAAGTACTGGAGGCTGCATACCTCTGTGATACACAAACAAATGCTTTTCTCCATAACTTTTCTTCTTTTTTTACTTTATAAGAAACATATCTAACATTACTATTCAATTGTTTTTCACAGATTACAGTAGTTGCATTGTTCAGTAAGAGCTTTAATGACTCATTTGGGTTTTTTGCCGCCCTACAAATAGAATGTAAACTAGCTTTTAGGAATAATCATTTTGCAGGTACTTTGCCTGGCAGAAACTAATAAAATGATACACTTCTACAAAGTATTTTTAGTCAGGATGTTTTTCCTTAATTTTTATATCCATCCTTGTTCATAGAGTTGTCAGAAATTTATACCAAAGGACACTTACCCTGTTTATAGTGCTGTTTTTAGAAAATTAGATTATGTTGTGATAAACTCAGCATAATAATTATTAGATATTATTGGAAGAAAATGAGAACTTCACCAAAATGCTTATCTCGATTTCCAGTTTAACCCAGTCTTGTATTTGTGTTTTTATGGGTTTTGAAAGTGTATTCTTAAAATAACTTGAGTATCACAGCCTCTGTCCAGTAACAACCCCCCCTTTTTCAGACTTAAATTATTTTTTCCTCTTCCTTGCGGCTTCTGCTTTTCTAAATTTATATGACATTGACTCACACCATTGAAGAGGTGTTAAGTATCTTTATTTCCTTCTTTATAGGTCACAGAAAAATAGATTTTTTTTGTCTGTTTGACCTGTGTAGAGACCACTCAAGAAATAATCCCATGTTAAAGTGAACTTTGTGTAGAGCAAGATTCGAGATGAAAACTGTACTATTTCAGCCTAGCTTCTTATTAAAATAATATAAAAAGAGTGCTTTGGTAATTTTGAAATTGAAATAGAAAACTGCCCTCTTGATAGTTCAGCTAAGTGACTCTTAGAATGTTGTGTGTTTTTTATAGATTTGAGCAAGGCTTGAATTTTTTCCCACAGCAGAGCTGCATTCTGGTTACCAGAAATATTTTAAGAACCTTAAACTTGTGTCTTTTTCTAAGTGTCATGCCTTGAGCAGGCCTAACATCAGTTAAATGAAGTGAAAATTGCATTCTTGTCTTGATAGAGATGAAAATGGATTTCTGGTCATGAAATAGATGTAGTTGTCACTTTTTTAAAAAGGTGTCAGCAGTTTGCTTCAGCAAGTAAGGTGCCAATTCAGTATGACAGTAAACTTGTGATCTGAGCAATCAATAAAATGCTTCAATAACTTCTGCTTCATTACACTTATAATAAGAGGCTATAGATCTGTGGCACATAAAATGTTGATAAAGAGGATATGTAGGGACTCAGTGTGACATTTTGTTTTAGTAATACAGTTAGTGCAATGTTGCCATCTAGAGTTCGTGCATAGGTAATTATCCTGAAAGCAAAAGCTCCAGCGAAAAAATAAACATTGCTTTTTCCAAGCCCCGTTTATTTCCATCACTTAGTGGCACCTATGTCTGTCTATCTGGAAGAGTTCATTTGCCTTGGCACAAAATTGTTTAGGTCAGGAAAAGGAAGACGATTCGTAGCTATTTTTATGCTTTTTCATTTGGTGACGTGTAAGGATAAGATCTCCTCCTCCCGCCCCAATCCAACATTTAAATGCATCTAAAAAACAATTATCATCTAAATAGATTTAATTGTTACCAGCTACTAACAAAAATCATAACGTTGCAGTGATTTGACACCTGTAAGGGGGAGAAGGGAAGCTTTGTAGTCACAGGGAGTTAATGTTGGGATGTTTCACATTCTGACCAAGTGTTCTTTCAGTTGATTTATGTATTATGAGGCCATAAATGGCTCCTGCTGATTTTTCATAAACATACATTGCAGGGGAATTGTCTCTGAGCTATTTATCTTGTAAGAAAATTATTTTGATATGTTAAATAGGGCTTTTTTTCCCCCCTTTTAATATGGACGGCACCTGATTGATAGAACATATAAAGAGTTTCCGCCATATGCCATATTGCATTTCTAATAAATAAAACTTAATTTAGATCCAGACAGACTTTTACTTCCCAGGGAAATTATTGCAAATCCTAAATTCTTCTGAAGTGTATTTTTAAAAGATATAGAACCAACTGTTCTGTCTAGTGAGCACGAAGGATGGGCTTATCAAGTTCAGCAATCTAGCACTGTTTTATTTTGTTGAAAAGAAGTGGTTGAGATTACTGAAGACTGGGTAATTAAAAACTAGTTGCACAGATATAGCGTGTTTGTTACAAGAATGACTGATTAAATCTTTTCCTTTTTATAAGCAGCAAGAATGACACTGCTTCTGGTTTTCCTTCTACTTTGGTATGTAACTTATAAACAATTTGCCTTTGAAGTGTCAGAGCCTTATTGTTAATAGGGTGGCTACTCATGTTTCATGTTTCTGATGAGGTGATCTGGTAACACTGTCCTGTACTTTATCCTCTTAATTTAATTGTTAATTTTGTCTGCACTGATAATGGATGAGAGTAAATGGTGGAAATGTGTCTGAAGTTGTGGCAAGGAGTTAAATGACTACTTTAAAAATGTAATTTTTGGATTGTTTTTCACCATGAACTTGCATTATCTTTTCTCTCTCCCTGTTTGAACATGAATGTTTGCTGGAGACATATGGTTTATGCTAAAAAATTATATATTAGTCAAAAGACCACAGATAGAGGATGCCATTTGGGACTAATGAAGTTTTAATTATAGCAGGGTCCAACATCTTTGCCCAGTGCATTTGCCACTCATTTTTGATTAAGCCTTGCCGGCCACAAACCAGTTCACCTTTTGAAGATGTGATGTGCTGAGGTACCTCCTGCATAATTAGGTGAATCCAAATAGGATATGGATTCTTTGGTGAGGACAGGGAGGGAAAAGGAAAAGAAATTTGTTACTTTGCTTTTTATTATCAGTCTTGTCATTGGATTACCAGAAAATGCCTGTGGAAGAGACGTGTCTCTGCGCTGAACTATGAATTTGATTTTTTTTTAGCATTTAAAGTTCATGGACTCGAAAGTCTTAAGACTTAGTTAAGACTCCCTTTGTTTGACTTTGATGGCATGTAAAATAATTTTGATCATCTGGGTCCAGGTTCTAAGGATGTGTCAGACAGATGATAATGTTCCTGTATTTTATCTGTCTTTATGCACACTGAGATTATTTCAGGTAATCTCAGAGTATCTGTCTTTCCTTGGGGATTGCGCAAGGTCAAATTGCATCACATTTGCCATGGACCCAAAGTGAATAAATGTTCCCTCAACCAGATCAGTTAACAAAGGGGGGGTTGTTAAACAGAGTAAATTGAATGTGTGCCTGAGTCTGGGGGCACTGAGAGATTCTTCTAGTATAACTAGGCTTATAGTAAATTTATGAGTTTTCAATTTTGTTCTAGATTTCTGACTTAAGAAATATGAAGTATATCTGTTAATCAGGAGACAGAGGTCTTCAGTTATATTGTTCATAAATAATCTGTAAACCCATGTATTATTACACAGATAGGATTGAATCCAGCTTAGTTCCTGATGTATCCTCTTAGAGTTGTGTAGGAAAAAAGTTAAATGTGGACTATCTGCCCATGTTAAGATGGGACTGTACTTGCAGTAGTGTCCTGTCTGTTACCTACATGCAGCACTGCCTTTTTTTCCTTGTTGTGAGTTAAATGAAATGCTGCACGATTATTAGGTTTACTCATTGAGTTAGATCTTCCACTGAGCTTATTAGAAGTTGCTAAACTAAAAAACAAAAGCTCAGTTTAGAACTTCCTGAACATACTGAAAATAAATCATTGCATTTTGCAACTTTGAGAGTAATTACAGAATTCTATTGCTAAAGTCAGTGGAAGTAGATTTGACAGATTTTTCTCTAAATTACTCAACCACCTACAGGTATTATTGCCGAGATTCTTTTGAAATGAGAATAAATTTTATGGAGTTACAACAGCAGAGTGAAAGGGTAGGTTTGATAGATTCCCTGAACTGTTTCAACACCCACAGGTATTATTTGTAAGAAAACAATCATGCAGAGCCTTCAGCTGGTTAGAGAGGGCACAGCATTCCATCTTCACCTGACATCCTATCTGTTCTCTCAACATCCTGTGCCCCCTGCCTGCCACCCACTCCTCCCAAAACAATGCTCACCAAGAGAGTTTTGTGTGAATGGACAAGAATATGAATGTTTTTAAAGGAATCTGAACAGTATAGAAAACACATTGTTTGGGGGGGACGAAAAGGATTGAGATGGGAGAAGAAAAACTGTCTTAAAGGATTGATTAGTATTCTTCACATTCTTTCCTAATTAATCAATGTTATTCTTTAGTTGTTAGAACCTCTCAAAAGCAATTATTTACTGGCTTAAAAGCTGAATGTAAGAAAAAATACTCAAAAAGATGAAATTGAAGGTTTTATTTGCTTTATTTCTCTCTTTTTAGTTTGGCTTGCTTCAGACTTGCAAAGACTAGTTTGTTTTTTCAATTATTCTAAATAACAAAGTCCTGAAATATTCGGTGTGGGTTCTTCACATTTCATAAACTTTACCTAAATGGGTTTAACATGAGGACCTGAAGTCTGTAAAGATCAAACATTACAATGTTGAGCATTTCTCAAAGATGCTGGTTTCATGTTATGGTTTTATTTCAATACACTTTAAAAAAAAAATTATTCCTCTATTGCCTAAAAGATCCAAAAAGACTGGGCCTGTTTATAGTGCATGCACTAGATTTATTATATGTCACACAAATATAGTTTCCTGTACCTTATAGTGTAATTTTATGAAAATTTAGAAGACTACTATTATATAATTTAAAATTTGACCGTTTTTCCAAAGAGCTTTTAAACATGTTTACATTCTTTTTCTGTTTTAATAATCTGCTGTGTTTATTGTTTTGAATCTTGATTACTTAAATTCAATATTAAAACATAAATCTTTCCATTTAAAAATAAAACTAGTTCGGTTTTATTTTGAATATATCAGGGATGAAGATCAAAACTGTCTTCTCAATTTGTGGTCACTTGCAGTTTCCAAGGGCATTAAAATAAATTACTGCTAAACTTATTCTCTAGAAAATGACACTAAATCCTAAATCTTTCTCTTTGTCTTGCTGAATAATGTTTTTCATAACCCTTACACTAGGAAATAGAGAAATCACCTTACTTAACTTAGTACAACTGAAAACAGTGAAGTGCTGAACTGCCAAACTCTGCTGACTGAGCCAAGGCTTTTCTTAAGAGCATCCAGAACATGGGAGATTTCTGTTGTGCCAGCTCAGAGAGCTGCAGCCCTGTTGTGCTCAGGTCTGATTTATAAGCTGCAATCTTTTGCCCAGAACTAGTGATAAACATCTGTATCCCATCACCATTTGGGTCTGGTCACCAACCTGTGTTTCTTTTTCAGCTTGATCTTCTCTGCAGATTCTCTTCTGCACAGGCACAGACACGCTGACCTCTTAGAAGTTCAGAATTCCTTTCTATCTCAGTGGCTCGAGAATTTCATTATCTGAATGGCATCTGATGGATCTTCACTCCTCTGTTTTTGTCATATGTTCTTCTTTCAGCAGTCAAAACAGGAATCCTACCTTCTTGGACTTGTGAAGAGCTCTCCCAGATTGGACAACAGGCAGACAACTGTGCGCTACAAAATGTGTTGCAGCCTGTGCCATGAGCTGAAGTGACTGTTCACTGTTCTTGTGAATCTTTTTCTACCATTGCAGCAAAGAAACCAGTTGCCAGTATTCCTCACTGTGATTTTTTTCCCTGAGCCATCTCAGCTGCTTCACCCAGCTAAGTCATCTGGGTTCCATGCTCTCTGTCAAGTTGTCATGCTCTAGTGTCTTCTATACAAAAAACTATTTCACGTAATTTATAGGTAAGTGGGATGCTTTCCGAATTTATAACCTCGGATCTTAAAGGCAGCAGTTATTCAAAGTAAAGGTACCATTCCTTTGAGCAAACTAGCAGAATGTGTGGGCATTATATATCTAATTCTGTAAATTAACTGCAACCCTGAGTTGGCCTCTCAGTCAAAGTTGCAAACTGTTCACTGGTTCAGAGACAAATTTACTTCTTAGCACAAATGTGATCGTCAAAGCACTTCAGGAGAATGGCTGAACTTCAGCTTGCTTTGCCCATTTGGAGAGACCCAAACGTTTACCTCTTGCTAGAGCAGGATGGTTGACTGTGTACCATTTCTCTCTCATGACAAGGGGACATCTCCCCACAGTCATTTTTGGTGGTGTCCCGGTGTTGCCTGCCAGGAGGAAAGGGGAATTTTATCAGTTACCAGGATTCTGGCAGTTCTTGTTTGTGCAGGTAGCCCAAAATACAGGTGTATTTCAAGAAATGATTTAGTTGTATTAAGATAAGAAGTATATTCTACACTGCTTCCCAGACTGGGCTGTAAACAATAGTTTAACAAGCACATCTGTGTCCCAGAATGTAAGTACCTCCATATTTTTGCATTGAAGCTTACTTACAGTCCATGATCACTACTAATCTTGACATCTTTGAAAATGTAGAAGGAAGAAATGGTATGTGAAGAAGGAAAAAGTGGTCCTCAGTTAGGAAAAAAAAGGTATTTCATGAGCTGCTCTCCCAATCTTTAATGACATAGAGAAGGAAAAATATTCTCAAAGACCTTGATATAACCATTAACTCTTTAACAGATACAGAACGTGGTCTAAGGACTAGTTTCTGCAGAAAGAGACAGTTATCTCACAGAAGTCTTAAAGAATTTGGATAATTCACAACAGACAGAGTAAAGCCTGCAGTAACATGGTTTTGCCCTGCCAAGACTGAAAGTAGAACAGACTTTTCTGTAAACAAGTTTTGTATAGACAACCAGGTGTCTGTTGAATGCTTTGTGGTTAATCACATATCTCCCAAAATCCAGAAAATTCACTTCCAAAGCCTGTAAACAAGGGAACAGGTCACCAATATTGACAATAGCTGAGATAATTGACAAAATTTTTTTTGATAATTGCGAAATATATCTTTAGACTTCCAAATAACTGCCAGGAAATAAAATTTGAGATAGCTGTTATCTGCCAGCAGTCCTTATTAAAATCCAGATTGAATTAAGGCTTTAAAAAACTAGAACAACCAGGAACCATACAGCATTTATACTTATGAGAACAAATTCCATCTAAAAAAATAAATGTGGAAAGACTTGGAAGAGTCTGATAATATGGTCAAACTTTCATGTGTAGATCCTTCAAAAGCTCAGAATAAAATTATACTTAGTTGTTCTTCACTCCTTATTTCTTGATTCCTTGTCAACTTTGTCAAAACTCTATTTTTCTCCTGAGTTTGTTTACAAAAATTATCTCTTTACTTTTGGAAATAGTTTTGTTTTACTTTGTGGCACATTTGTATTTAATTTGACTTACAGATATGGAGGTGTTATACATATGGTACTCCAGTTATAATAGAGGGAATGATAGTATTCTGTTTTGCTGAAATTCCAGCTGGTAGAAAATTAAGTGTGCAAGCAGTCATGCTCAGCAGAAGAGTGTAAAACTGAGAGGTGTGTCTTGTAGCTGCTTATTTAGAGGTCAGAGTTGTTTTCACTGATTCCTTCAGCATTAATGATGGTAGTTAGAAATATTTGTTCTTCTGTATTTTTTCCTGGTTTTGGCATTGAGATGGAAGACCTAAACAGTTTTTCTTCTTCATAAGGTGCTGATTTGTCTATAAACAGGCAGTTCTTCAGCACTGTTTGAAGCCCTGATTGCTGACTCCAACCGTGATGTTCCACCACAAAGGGCAAGGGAGATTCTCAAGCCTAACGCTCTGGTTAGGAAGATGCCATTTCAAAAAGCTTCCAGCTCCTTTTTCTTAGGTGACTCTTAGGCTGTCATGTGATCCAAGTCTTTATCAAGTGTTGTGCTGCTTGGTTCCCACCAGTGCCTTGGGCAGGTTGGCTCTCCTGGGTTGTAGTCAGCACTTCAACCAGGTGAAGGGCTCGGACAATATGCAGGAATTGGATGCTCTGAAAATGTTCAGTGAAGAAGGTCTGTAAAAACTCTATGCTGGAGTTTTAACTCTTTCAGATTGGCTAGACCATTTGCCTAACCTTTATTACCATATTTAGTATCACATATTCTCTCCCCTCCCCCTCTTTCTCTGTGTTTTCTTTAAATGAAGACCACGTCTTTCTTATGTCACGTAAACGAAAATGCGGTTTTGAAGATAACTGCAAATGTCACTGAACAATGGACGTTACATGAAGGAAAACAACCTGGTGTCAGGAAATATAACAATCAAGGGACTGTTTTCCAATGGCAATAGCAGTTACATTATTTCTAAATTATATAAGTTTTTTATATGTAGGGAACTTGACATCTTTTAAGTAAAGGTGTAAATAAAGATGATTCCAGCCACAATTTACTATCGAAAAACATATTCACTACTTACATAAAACATAGATTTTTTAGAAAAGAATTACTTCTGTTGGTCTTGCAGAGATGTATTATTGCTATACTTAGTTTGTAAAATACTTGCAGTATTCTTCTAAGGGAAGAAATTTGCTTAAAAGCTCCTTTTCACATACAACTTTAATAACGCAAACTCACATTTGGTTTACCCTTAATGTAATATACTTGAATTTTACCATGTATATTTTCTGCCTGGCTAAGGTTACATGTAGCTCTTTCTCAGAAAACTTTCGGGGCTGCACACTTTTTATCAGTATTGTTTTTAATTTATCCTTACATGAAAAATCCCACTACAGAGAACGAAAATAAATGCGAATATTGGGCTTCTGTTCAACCCTAAACATCGGACCGGTCTTATGGCTCCTCTCTGAATGCCAGTCACAGGATGCAGATATTCCTGCAATTTTACATATTTTTCCAGGGCTGGCATCTGGCTGCTCTGTAGATTCCTGAGGCAGTTCTGTGAGCACTGTTGAGATGCCTCCAGGTCTGCCATGTGACGGAGTTGCAGATGGAGCACTTGCGCAATGCACTTTCCTTTTTTCCTGGTTTAATCATCCCAGGGAGTCTGTCGTGTTTCTTTGTGAGAGAGAGTATTTGTACATGCTAAAAAAAAAGCTATTTCACCCTTTTAAAAATTAATAAGCCTTCAATTTTTAGAGAAAATTTGGAGAAAATCTTCTATTACAGGGAGCCTTTCCAAACTCCTATATCTCTAAGTTGTTTAATTTGATGCCGTATATAGAAATTTGTTTTGAATGCTTGTTTATCAAAATTCATTCCCTATGTTTAAATACCAGCTGAGAAAAAATCAGTGGGGAATTTAAGACAATTACTGAGCAGATACCTGATTAGGGATGCCTCTACTCATTGATGTTAAAGAACTGAAAAAAAATAATGCATGATAAATAGCATAATTTCTGAAGTAAAAAAAATATCCAGTGCTGCTTCTGTACAAATGTCTCAAATATTTATGGTATAAAAAGGAATTGTTTCAGATTGTTCAAATGTTGGTATTTATAATTACTGCAATGTGAAATAATGTAAATGCATGTTGCATGTAGCATGTACTGAAATCTGGGAAATTTGGACTGAAGTGTGGCTTATTCTTAACTTTGGATTGTAGAAGGCCACTTACTAATTAAAAGCAGTAAAATATTCTGGCTTTATTCTTAGAAAAACCATTACAGAATAGATTTTTTATTTCTAGAAAGGTGCATGTGTAGCTAATCCTTTAATAAAATGGCAAACTTTTCCCGAGCATATGCTCATTGCATTTTATCATACTATTTAGGAACTATTCTTTGTCTTCATAGCAGTCTTAATTTAATATTTGCATAAAATTCTTCAGATCATTTCATTATTTTGTTTAATAGTGTTCTCCTCTTAAGATTACAGCCTTTTCCATTAAATTGCAAATTATGCAAACAAAGTACGCCCACTTAAGTTTGGCAGTTTTTCATTGCCAAATGACTATTGTTTCACTGTTCATTTGTTCAAAGGATTACTTTTTAAATTAGTGAACTAAAATGAAAAAGTGCATGTTTCTGTTCTCTTGTTTGTAACCCATAATTTTCCTAAGGCCAATTTAAGGTATATTGTCTTTTAGAATGACATTAAATTAGACCTCAGTCATCTGCTTCCTGTCACTTTCTATTATTTTGTACTTGTTCATCAATCCTTGGGGGAAATCAAAGCCTGTGTGGCTCCCATTTGAATCTGCATAATTCTCAGTGATGGCTGGGTCAGGAGGTGCCTCCCCATGATATTTAAATTTCTACCATAACTGGAGTCATTAACCCTTCAATGACATGGTCATTCTAATAATCTTGTTAGCATGTGTTATTCATTAGAATAAAGTACTTTCAATCTTAAATTTAATTCTAAATTATAATATTTTGATATTAATAAGAATGTCAGTGGAGTTTTATAATACTCATATTTTTTTATTCATGTATATATATATTATTATTAAATCCATTCTAGCTGCATCCAACAGCAATCTTTATAACGATCCTTTAGTCTTTTTCTTCTGTTCTTGAAATGATTTAAATGTATTAATTTGGTTTCTTAATATGCAAGCTATTTTGCTCCTAGAAGTTAAATTCTGGTTGTGCTTAAGTGCTACTTGTAAAACTCAGATTAACCAAGGGTAGCTCTGGGAGGCCAAGGGCTGGCGACACTGCAGCTCATTGTCACAACAGCACCACCAGAATGATGTAAAGGTATAAAGGAATCAAATACCTTCATAGGTGAGGAGATAGGCAGAATTTCTCCAGTTATTTTACTGGAAACATCGGATAAGAAGAGACACTGAAAGGTGGAAGTGCTCTGTTGTTCAGGAACATGGCATGGTAACAGCTGATCCTTCAACTGAACGATCACTGTCCTGTTTCTTGTCCTGGCTTAAGTTTACAATCCTTATCTTGGCTTCCACTCTGAATGCCTGGGAAAAGGCACTTAGTAGCTTCTGCAAGCGTTCAGATCTATCATATGTGTTGGTTTTATAAGATGCTGTGGGAAGTTAAAATCCTCATCTTGTTAATTCAAGACAAAGTAGTATTAATTTTAAAGCACTGTGCATTTGCACTCTCTGTGAATGCAACAAATGCACCACAAATGGTGGTGAAGTTTGAAAAGCTCTACTCCCTTCTGTCTGCAGGCAAATTAAGTCACTAATGTGTGCCTGGTTAGGAATCCCTCAATCCACTGGATTCTCTGAATCATACAAGTCTGCTGAGAGACAAGCAGGTTTTTTCCAGCTGTCAGATCATCTGAGAGGTCTCGGTCAAATACAGTGCTTAAATACTGTACCCCTTTCACTTTATGGTATGGCTTTTACCTTATTTAATGTATTGACAGATAAAATCTTTCATGAAATGGTATAAACACTGATCTTCTCCCTCATGCACACAAAGACCTGGATTCTTCCGTGTACCCAGTTTACACCGTGGGGCTGTCAGGGAGATGGTTCCAGCTCTTTGATTTTCCACGTAGCCCCAGGCCCCTGCGTTGCTGTAGCCTCTGCCAGCTGGCAGTGGTTCCCTAGGGACCGTTGCAACATGGGCTTTAGAACTCCCTGCACTTTATCTGTCCTTCCCCAGTTACAGCACACAAGGCTGCACACACGGTGGACAGAAAACAACCCACCGACAGTGCTCTCAGCAGGGAGCCACAGTAAGACCCTGCTTCTTTGGGGGGGTGGATATAATGGTGGAGATACCAGGCCAGAAAGAAGAAATATTTGAAAAAGTTTGTATTTTTGGTCATGCCATGCAGAGTGTACAACTCAAAAACTAGCACTGATCACAGTCTCTCATTTTTGGAGCATATCCTCCACGTGCTTCTTGGGTTGTTGCTCCACTTTACAGTGTTGTCTCAGTTTTCTTGGCAGCTGGTACAGTGCTGTGTTTTGAATTTCCTGAGAATAACATCGATAAGACACTGATGTTTTCATTGTTGCGGAGTATCCAGGCATACTCCAGCCTCTTACAGAGGAGGTAAAGGAAACAGTTGCTTCATCAGATGATTTCACCAAAGGGACTTGGTCAAGATGTGGCCTGTCCCAGCCATTTATGCTGTAGGTCTGACTTTTTCTTTTGAAAGGATCCCGTGTAATGGCTCCAGATAATACCCCAAAATCTCAAGGTGTTGTAGAGCTGGACTTGAAACAAAAAATATTATTTTGATGGCTCTGATTAAAGAGGATTCTTCCATTATTTTAATATCTGACCCAGCTACAAGAATTCCCCAGTTTTCAGTTGATGAGAAGCTCATGGAACTGAGTGTTCACTCTGTCAAGAGAGACTGGCTCTTACAGCTACAGCTTCTCAGCTGAGAGTCCCA